ATGGAGCGCTTTTAAGGACCCAGGTCCACTTGCCAGGGTGCATTTTACAGCTTCCTGCCCATGTTCACTTATCACAAAGAATGATAGCACAGAGTTTCATCCTAGCATCAGTTATTCTGCATCACACAGCAACAACCATTTTTCATTCTCCTGACTATTTAGTATAGCTCTAATTGCTCAAGTCCCAGCTTCTCTGCTGGACGGATTGTCCCTAGTGATAGGAGAATCTTCCCAGGTCCAACTCATCAAGGGTTCAGCAAATTTTGTTTGAGATCCAGAAAACCAGAACTTAGATTCCGTTCACAGTTCACACCAATGTGTTTTTAAGTCGTTTTTGCAGAAACGCACTACAGTCCATTTAACATGGTTTCCTAAGGAACATGTTCACATCTATGCTTTTTTGAGCAGCTGCGTTTTTGGAAAGGGTCAGGGACTTTTTTAAAAGCGAAAAGTAGCATTTTTGCAATAGAGTAAAATGGAGAAGCTGCTGAAATGCATGGTAGTGCATGTTTGCCGCATTTTGTATTATATTCTGTCCAGCAACAAAAAAAAATTCCACTTTAACAAAAAAAAGCTGAACAAAATGCAGACGCGGTAAAAACACGTGTAGAAAAATGCAAAACGCACTGGAGAACGTATCAAATGCAAAATGCATATATGTGAACGGAGCCTTAGAGGCGAGTCCCATGGAAGTCTAAAAGGAAGTTGAGAGAAGGAGAGGGGAAGGACAAATCTTGCTGTTAAATTAAGTACACGTCACAGACAGTGACAGTATACGCTGGCAGTGCATATTTAATTTTGGATTAGATACAGCAACAACACATTACTATGAATTTTTTCAATTTGAATAAAAATAGCTTTATGCGAGTAGATTTATCAGCGACACGTGCTTTTTCATGAAGTGGTAATAGGCCTGTTTTTCCTACCAGATAGAAATTGCCAGTAGTACACAGAGGCTGTCCTTGTTCTCTCTGATGGAAAATCGCCTTACTGCTCGCCAATGTGTATCAAGTTCTCATTAATAATTTAGAGACTGCAGATGATATATCTGTGTAAATTTAGACAGCGGCAGGGCATATTTAATGAGGGAGATCAGGTTGGAAAAAAAAAGGAGTACAGGCAGAGGCTATACTACAACAATTAGGGGACCGTAAAAGATAAAGAAGTGAAAAATTGTCCAGCAGCAAGACAATTGTATGTCCAAACTTTCCAAAGACAAAGAGCAGAGCCTGGGAAGTTAGTAAAAGAATTAAAGGATAAGTTCACCTTTAGTAACATGGTACACCCATATTCTGTAGAGGGTGTAACATGTTATACCCATATAGAGGGTGTAACATGTAATATACTACTAAGGGGGGTACATGCGCGGCCGGGAACGCTGATGGCCGCATCCTCCTGAGCTCCGCTCATCTCCCGGTCCTAGAGACTCACCCACGGCGCATCGCTGCTCCACAGGCGTCCGTGGGTGAGTCATATTAGTGGGGCACCCAGCTCTCCAGACCCTAATCTCATCATGGGGAAGATTGGGCGCGGGAAGCCTCCTTCCCCACCGCCGCATGAGCCGCGGCCGTCACCGCGGCCGTCACCGCTGCAGCGGTCCTTCATAGGCCGCAATCTCCGGCCCCAATTCCGGCCGCAATCCCTTGGCCGAGCTCCGGCGGACCCCCAGTGGTGGCCGGAGGTACTGCAGCAGCTGCCTCTGAAAAGCAGCCAAGCTCTGGCGAACCCCCAGTGGCGGCCGAAGGTACTGCAGCAGCTGTCTCTGCAAAGCAGCCGAGCTCTGGTGGACCCCCAGTGGCGGCCGAAGGTACAGTAGTAGGGGCAATAGTGCATTCTCCATTGAGCCCTTCACCACCTGCTTCTGCCAATCTTCATGTTTCATCTACTCTCACGATATCGGCATTGGAGGAAAAGCTGCAGGTATTTTTACGAATATTATCGCCACTATATCCGCTGAAGTGAGCAAGTTGGCTTTGAATCTTCGGGGAGAAATAGTGCAGATTGGGGAACGTGCGGATCAATTGGAGAATAAATTTGATGAATTGGTGCAGTACGTCCATGTCTTAGAAGAAGTTCTAATGCGTATCTGAAGCACACCATGACCCCAAATTCAGCTCCAACAAGAGGATTTGACCCCAAAAACAGGGAACGCCGGCAAAATATCAGCATTTGCGGTATGTCTGAATCTATTGCCATTCCCAATTTCGTTGACATCTCTTGTCCTTCTTCACTGCAACCGCCCCCTTGGTTCCAGAAGCGGATTGGCGCATGGACAGGGCCCACCAATCATTAGGTCCCAGACCTGCTGATGGTACCAAACCACGTGATGTCATCGTCCGCTTTCATTTTTTTGAAAGCAAGGAAGCCTTGTTAGCCTCTGTACGCCACATCCCATCCCTGAAATTTAAAGGGGACAGGCTTCAGCTCTTCTGTGATCTCTCTCCGATTACCCTGGCTAAACGGCGAGCGCTGAAGCCACTCACCCACTCATCTCCAGCACCACTGTGTCCCCTATCGATGGGGTTTTCCCTTCAGGTTGGTCGTCTCCAAAGATAATTCCCAAGTTACTCTACATGAGGGGATCTTATCCTCATTACCCCTTCTCCATCTCGTCCTTCCACTACCCCCAACAAGATTTGGACACCAGTTCATAGGGTCTGGAAGCGTCCTTCACGTACTCCACAACGTCCTCGCCCTTCTCGTTCCAGCGACGTGCCTGCTTGATGCTTCTCTGCAATGTTCTTCTGTGGGCACTTCGGGGTTGTATTCTTACTCCCCCACATCCCCCCCTTTCCCTCCCCTCCCTCCCCTCCTTTCCTTCCCCTCTCCCTCCCCCCCTTCCTTTTTTTTTTCCTGTGCTGGGTCCCCCATATGTCATACTTTTCTGGCCGGATTTGCTGACTGATATGTTCCGGTTGTCCTGTTGCCCCCGATCCCGTCCAGACAATCGTGACGGCTTTACGACTTCTGTCATATAATGTCAAAGGCCTTAACTCTGTTCAGAAGCGGTGGATGGCTTTGAAGGAATTCTGATCCTCAGGAGCAGATATTATTTTTGTCCAGGAGGCTCATTTTAAGTCAGCAGGCTCCTTTCGTTTTGCCTCAAGGTTTTTTTCTCAATCCTATTCGGCCTTTGACCCATCTGGTAAGGCTGGAGTGGCTATACTGATACGGACACATTGCTCCCTTCGGGTCGCCTCCTCCAAGGTCGATCATCATGGTCGCTTCATTCTCCTAGAATGAATGCTTGGTGACACTCCCCTTATTTTGCTGAATCTCTATGCTCCGAATTCAGGTCAATTACAATTCCTTACACAAACTCTTGCCAAATTGGGCTCCTTTTCCGCTCCACACGATTATAGGGGGTGACTTTAACTAGCTGCCGACCGCAGATAGCCGAATGACGGCTGCACTGCGGCCGGCCAGTTCTGAGTGGACGTCATATGACGTCCTCCCAGAACGCGCTCCAGGGGGCACGCACCCGGCGATCTCCATGATCGCTGTGTCCTACGGACACAGCTGATCACGTGATGTGGTAAAAGGCCAATCACAGCGGCCTTTTACCACGTGATCAGCGGTGTCCAATGACACGCTGATCAGAGGGAAATGCAAGTGCCGGTTCTCGGCTGCACTTTCCTCACGCTGTCAGATCGTGAGGAAAGTACTGCCGAGAACCGGCAGTTGTCAGAGCGGGGATCGGCACCGATCATCAGGGTACTGATGATCAGTGCCCTGATGATCGGTGCCCAGCAGTGCCACCCGCAAGATCCGCCCACCTGTGCCCAGCAGTGCGCCCACTAGCTCCGCCCACCCGTGCCCAGCAGATCACCCACCTGTGCCCAGCAGTGCACCCACCTGTGCCACTCTGCAGTGCCACCTACCTGTGCCCAGCAGTGCCACCCACCTGTGCCCACCCACCTGTGCCCACCAGTGCCACCCACCTGTGCCCACCCACCAGTGCTGCCCACCAGTGCCACCCACCAGTGCAGCCCAGCAGTGCTGCCAGTCAGTGCCACCAGTCAGTGCCCCAGGGGTTGTGCCAGTCAGTGCCCAGCAGTGATGCCAGTCAGTGCCGTCTATCAGTACCCATAATCAGTGTCACCTATCAGTGCCGCCTATCAGTGCTGCATATTAGTGCCGCCTATCCGTGACACCTCATTAGTGCCGCCTATCCGTGCCACCTCATTAGTACTGCCTACAGTGCCCTTTAGTGCTGCCTATCAGTGCCCATCAGTGCCGCCTATCAGTGCCCATCAGTGCTGCCTCATCAACGCACATCAGTGAAGGAGAAAAAATACCTGTTTGAAAAATTTTATAAAAGAAACAAAGAAACTTTTTTTTTTTTTTCAAATTTTTTTGCACTTTTTTTATTTATAGCGCAAAAAGTAAAGTGCCCAGTGGCGATTAAATACCACCAAAAGAAAGCTCTATTTGTGAGGAAAAAATGATAAAAATTTCATATGGGTACAATGTTGCATGACCGCGCAATTGTCAAAGTGCGGCAGCGCTGAAAGCTGAAAATTGGCCTGGTAAATAAGGGGGTATACCGTATTTTTCGCTCCATAAGACGCACTTTTTCCCCCCCAAAAAAGGGGGGGAAATGTCAGTGCGTCTTATGGAGCGAATATAAAGCGGCCGGTCCGGTATTTCTGCCGCCACCATGTCAGAATACCGGGCCGGCCGCTCAGCTGTTCTCTCCTGCAGGGCCTTACCTGTTCCTCGCTCCAGCTCTGCACAGTCTTCCCGCGCTGGCTTCTGTGATAGCCGGGTGCCCACTGCGCATGTGCTGCGCTTTGTGAATGATCCGGTGTCTTCTGGGACACATGACAGGTCCCAGAAGGCGCCGGGCCATTCACAAAGCGCAGCGCTTCTCGCACATGCGCAGTGGGCACCCGGCTGTCACAGAAGCCGGCCTGGGAGGAAGAGCGAAGGACAACTCCGCGGAAGTGGGAGCGGGTACCTGTCAAATTCAGGTACCCGCTCCCCCTCCTTCCCCAAAGGTCAGCAGTCTCTGGTCATTCCCTGCACTGTCTGCAGCCTCTGGTCATTCCCTGCACTGCCTGCAGCCTCTGGTCATTCCCTGCACTGCCTGCAGCCTCTGGTCATTCCCTGCACTGCCTGCAGCCTCTGGTCATTCCCTGCACTGCCTGCAGCCTCTGGTCATTCCCTGCACTGCCTGCAGCCTCTGGTCATTCCCTGCACTGTCTGCAGCCTCTGGTCATTCCCTGCACTGTCTACAGCCTCTGGTCATTCCCTGCACTGTCTGCAGTCTCTGGTCATCCCTGCACTGTCTGCAGTCTCTGGTCATTCCCTGCACTGTCTGCAGTCTCTGGTCATCTCCTGTACTGTGTCCGCAGTCTCTGGTCATCTCCTGTACTGTGTCCGCAGTCTCTGGTCATCTCCTGTACTGTGTCCGCAGTCTCTGGTCATCTCCTGTACTGTGTCCGCAGTCTCTGGTCATCTCCTGTACTGTGTCCGCAGTCTCTGGTCATCTCCTGTACTGTGTCCGCAGTCTCTGGTCATCCCCTGTACTGTGTCCGCAGTCTCTGGTCATCTCCTGTACTGTCCGCAGTCTCTGATCATCTCCTGTGCTGCCCGCAGTCTCTGATCATCCCCTGTACTGTGTCCGCAGTCTCTGGTCATCTCCTGTACTGTGTCCGCAGTCTCTGGTCATCCCCTGTACTGTGTCCGCAGTCTCTGGTCATCCCCTGTACTGTGTCCGCAGTCTCTGGTCATCTCCTGTACTGTGTCCGCAGTCTCTGGTCATCTCCTGTACTGTGTCCGCAGTCTCTGGTCATCTCCTGTACTGTGTCCGCAGTCTCTGGTCATCTCCTGTACTTCGGTGTCCGCAGTCTCTGGTCATCTCCTGTACTGTGTCCGCAGTCTCTGGTCATCTCCTGTATTGTGTCCACAATCTCTGGTCATCTCCTGTACTGTGTCTGCAGTCCATTGGTTCAGAATATTTTTTTTTCTTGTTTTTCGCCAAAAAACCTAGGTGCGTCTTATGGTCAGGTGCGTCTTATGGAGCGAAAAATACGGTAAGTGCCTGGTAGGCAAGTGGTTAATTTAATCCTTTCACCACACAAGGATAGGAAGGTCCTCTTCGAGTCCACTCCTTCGAAGTGGCAATGCTCCCTGAAATCCTTTCGCAAATTGATCAGGGGGAGCATCGCCTCTTTGATGCCTGGTGGATTCGACATCCTACCCACAAACAGTTCACCTTCTATTCCACACCTCAAAGCTGCTACTCCTGCTTAGATCATTTCTTCATTTCAGCTCCTTTTCTTCCGCTTCTAGTTTCCTCTGACATCAACCCTATTACATGGTCTGACCACGCCTCCCTAACCTTAAATTTGTTATTCCCCAATGTTATGCCAAAATCAGGCCATTGGCGTCTCAATGAGTCCTTTTTAACCACGGAACATCTCCATGCTGAGCTCTCACAGGGACTTGATATGTACTTTCAACACAATGTAGGCTCTGTACCATCTACCTTGACCGTATGGGAAGCCCACAAGGCGGTATTTCGAGGCCTTTGTATCTCCATGGGTTCTCGCCTGAAGAAATCCGCAGAGCATGCCAGGATTACCCTAGTTCGCCAGTTAACCCTAGCTGAATGTAGACTTCTCGCAAAGCCGTCAATTTCTAGGCTGTATAAAGTGACCTTCCTACGTGACCAAATCAAAACCCTTGATGCTTGTGAGTCCACAAAATATCTCCTCTGGGTCAGGCAGAAATTTTACGAACTCTCTAACAAACCCCACCGTATGCTTGTCAATAGACTTAAAGCACAGTCCCGTTCTACATTTCCAGACCATCTTGTCCAGCCGAATGGGAGCCCTACTTACGATCCTCGTGTGATGGTTTCCCTTTTTGGCTCATATTATGAGTCCCTTTACAACTGTTTGACCTCAGACTTCCACCCTCCTCTTACAGAAACCTCTTTTGATAAGCTTTTCAATCCCCTATTACCAAAGCTATCGTCTTCTGACATTGCGGCCCTCAACGCTGACATTACATCTGAAGAACTATTTGATACAGTCAAACATCTCCCCTCACGCAAAGCCCCGGGACCAGACGGACTTCCCTACTCATATTACAAGACCTTCATTGGTATCCTAGCTCCCCATCTTTCTCTTTATCACGATTTTTTCAGAGGTATTGTTCCCCAAGCCGACTTTTCCCATGCATATATCTCTGTGATTCCCAAACCTGACAAGGACCATTCCATCTTAGATAATTACCGTCCTATTGCTCTATTGAACTCTGATTACAAGATTTTTACTAAGATTCTCGCCAATCTAGGCTCATCTCCAAGCTCATACACAGAGACCAGGTTGGCTTTTGTCAGGGATCGCGGCTCCGTAACCCTGGATCGCGGCGCCGTCCCCCGCGCATGCGCATTGGCAGCAGATCACGCCGGGACACAGGCACTAGGTCCCGGCGAGCCGCGGCTGACAGGACGCCGCGCATGCGCAGTAGGAGCCGCGGGCGCGCCTCAAGCGTCCAATGACAGCCGGGGGCGCGTCCTAGCCGGCCAATGACAGTGCAGGGCGCACTATTTAAAGATGCCCTGCACTGTCACATATTGCCGCAAGGTCTTTCTGTGATTTTGAGTTCCTGCACCCGTCTAGTGACCCTGATTGACCCTGACTACGCTGCCTGCCCCTGTGATTGACCCGGATTGTCCTGACTATTCTGCCTGCTCCTGAGATTGACCCGGATTGCCCTGACCATTCTGCCTGCTCCTGTGTTTGACCCGGATTGCCCTGACCATTCTACGGACTGACTTACCCTGCTGACCCTGCGTGTGACCCGACTACTCTTTGCCCACCGATTCTGTACCCCGCTTACCCTCACGGGTCCACGATCCGTTACTACCCTGCTGGGGCCGCCATTTCCTTCACATCTGGCTCTCCCGGTACCTGTCCCCGGAGGTCTCCTCAGCCACTGGTGGGCCTGCTCGGAGGTCGTGACCTGGCCCGGGACTGTTTCAAGTCCATCCCCACCATCAGGGGCCCTGGTGAAAGCACAGCCCGGGCTTAGACCCCACGCTCTGAGTAGGTCTGTCAGTTGGCAGCCTGAGGCACCACCTGGCGGATCATAACAGCTTTGTTCCTGCCAGACATGCGACGGATAATACCAGAAGATCTATTATCTGGTTGACTTGGTTAACCGGTCCTCCATTCCCACTATTTTATTGAGCTTAGATGCCCAAAAAGCTTTTGACCGCCTCAGCTGGCCTTATATGTTTATGGTCTTGGAGACGTTTGGCTTCCGTGGCCCTTTCGTGGCAGCTTTAAAAGCTCTTTACTCTCACCCTTCCTCACAGGTCAGACTAGCCTCCTTTCTCTCACCTCCTTTCCAGATGTCGAATGGTACGCAGCAGGGATGCCCACTCTCTCCCCTATTGTTTATCCTCTGTTTGGAACCCTTGGCTATTGCAATCCAGGCCCATCCTGACATAAAAGGGGTAATGTCTCATGGCCGTGAATACAAACTATCCCTATTTGCGGATTATATTCTCCTTACTCTCTCGAACCCCCAAATCTCCCTCCTAGCATTACATAAACTTTAACGACAATTCGGGACTCTTTCGAGTTACAAGGTTAACACATCCAAGACTGAAGCGCTCCCACTCCACATACCACCAGTTGTCCTCTCATCCCTCCAAGACTCTTTTCCATATCGATGGTGCACCCATTCTTTAAAATATTTGGGTACTAGTCTAACCTCTTCCTACAGTTCTATTTATGATGCCAATTTCCCCCCACTATTTATAGCTATTTCCCGTTCCTTAAAGTTTTGGGATACCCTACCCTTATCATTCTTGGGATGTATCAACGTCATAAAGATGACTGTACTACCCAAACTTTTATATTTATTTGCGACTCTACCCGTTACTGTTCCCATGTCCAAACTACACTCCCTCCAGAAATCCCTTCTACATTTCATCTGGCATAATAAGCGGCATAGAATTGCACGCAGTGTGCTACTGTCCCTGCACTCTAGAGGAGGCCTAGGGGCACCGGATATCGTGACCTACTATTATGCTACTCACCTCCGTTTCATTCCGTCATGGTCGACCCAGTTTCCTCCCAATCTGTGGACTGAGATTGAGTCCTTACAATTGACTCCGATTCATCCTTGCTCTATCCTCTGGTTATCCTCGGTGGTGGACCTTGCCCCTTTCCGTCGTCTCTTCCTCGGCTCCATGCAATTTTCCATGAGTATTTGGCGGAAATGTAGGACCAGGTTTGCACTGACCTCAGACTGCTCTCCACTGACTAATATCCTCTTTAACCCCAATCTTCCAGATAGTTTGGCCGTGTCCCGGATGCTCCCTTGGGTCAAGGCCAGGCTCTTCCAATTGCGCCACTTAGTACATCGTTACTCGGAAGTTGCAACCATTCTCATACCTCCAGAAAAAAGATCTGTCCTCCCAACATTTTTATATATACCTTCAGCTACACCATTTTTTCTCCACCAAGTTGACTTTGACTCTCGGGAAACCCTCTCCCTTTGAGCGTCTATGTATACAGGTCCCACATCAAAGGGGTATAATTTCCAATATATACAAACTCTTAATGGACGCTACCCCCCTCTCTAACGACACTCATCATTACATGCGCACGTGGTCCCAGTTTTTGCAATGTGACATCGATCTAAGACAGTGGAAGAAAATTTGGGAAAACGCATCTAAATCTTCTGTCTGTGTGGTTTATAAAGAAAATACATACAAAATTCTGATGTTGTGGTACAAAACCCCTGAGGTTATTCATGCTTTTAACCCGAGTACTTCTTCTGCCTGCTGGCGTTGTGGGAAAGATTTGGCTCCCTCTTCCACATTTTTTGGACTTGTGGATCCATTGTCCCTTTTTCGGAAGAGGTTTTGTCTTTTTTACAATTGTTATTGCGTACCTCTCTACCCTTTGAGCCCCTATACTTTTTATTGGGCTTGCTGTTCCCAGGCCTTCCCAAGGTGTCCAGGAAACTTTCCACACACATTTTGACTGCGGCCAGAAGAAGCATTCCTATGTGTTGGTTATCCGCTATACCGCCTTCGATGTCAACTCTGTTTAAAATTATTGCTGATGTACGACAGATGGAATACCTGACTGCTATACATTCCGGCTCGACAGCTGTGTTCAAGGCAGTGTGGCACCCATGGGATAATTCCTCCCCTTCCCACCTTTCTCCAACTGTGCTGTTCTGATAGCCTCCCCACGGTAGCTATGTGACATTATTATGTTTGTAACCATGCAGATTTTACCATCGATGTGCTCCTTCTTTCTATTTTGTTCTCTTTCAACGTGTTCATATATATATATATATATATATATATATATATATATATATATAATGTGAAAATCAATAAAAATTGTTAATACAAAAGTAATGTATTACTAAAGCAGCAGCCCTGCATCCCCCGATCCCGCATTGTGACAGCTGGCGGGGGATCCTTCCTCCGCACCCGCTGAC